CTCTGAATTTTCTCGATGCTTTTCCTGAAGCCAGCCGGAGTTACACACCCCAGCACGCCCATACATCCCTTTGCTCTGCTGCTTGTACAGTCTTGGGTTGTGAGGGAGGGCACTGCTTTCATGTTTACTGTGTACTACCCCCTTGCTTGTCTCCCCAGCATCCAGAGGCTCCAGTGCACTGTCTTTGGGCTAACCTAGCTGCCAGTTACTTCCTTCCATATCTCAGCTTTCTTATATTGGCACACAACTGAGCTGTAAATATTACATATGCTACTGCACCCCCTTGAAAGGTATTTTTGAAACAAATACCAACTGACACACAGGGAGCTGGAGCACCTCCCCAAGCAGCTGCCATCCCATCCCTGTGTGCCACCTCCCACTCCCCCGTTCCTGTTCTAAGACATGCAGAAACAGGACCCAGTAGCATCTAAAATGGTTTTGAATTAGAATAAAGGGAAATGCTCCCATCCTGGGTGTGGGGCCTATGGGTCTTTTGAAGGCTGTTGGAACACTCCCCTGTGCTGTTGACCTTGTCGTTCCTGAGGATATGTCTGTCTGTCTGAAGCTGACACTACCCTGGCTTGTCCACAGCAGCTATGTGAATCTCAGGATCTTGTTAACTAACTCCCTCTCTCCATGTGGGATGGAAGAACTAGCCTCAAACTCAGCAGTTCAATTGCCATGACAACACAAGCATAGCTCTCTCTGGGGCTTGAGCTTTGTCATGTGGTTATGCACTTGACAAGAGTCACGCCATGCTCAGCCCTTAACAGCCTAACACAGGTAACAGGCAGGGTCCTCACTTTCCAGTCTGTATATTTCTGCCATTGTCATTGCATCACCTGGGACCCGAGAGGTAGGGCTCATCCTCGTTGTGAAACTTTGAGACCACCTAAGACTTTCCTCTGCCAGGTTTATTTTCCTTTCTTGAGATAACTTTTCCATACTTTGATTGCTTCATCATTGGTGTTTTGTTAGGGTCATTGTAGCTTTAACTGACGCACTCTGTATAGCAGAGTCTTGGTAAAGCAGAGATTTACTAATAGTTACTCTGCTCTTTTTTAACAGCTAAAACTGTCACCACCATCGTCACCAACTTGGTTTAAAAAATACATGTGGAGCCCGGCATTGTTGGCATACACCTTTAATCCCAGCACTTGGGAGACACAGGCAGGCAGATCTCTGAGTTCGAAGCCAACCTGGTCTATACAGCGAGTTCCAGGATAGGCTCCAAAGCAATACAGAGAAACCCTGTCCTGAAAAACAAATAAATACAGCTGAAGGCCATTAATTTAGTTTCCCCAAACTCTAAACTTGCCTGTTGACTCCAGGTTTTCTCCACTGCACTGAGTTGATGTGTCTTGATTCGGTAGTTGGTGCAGCTAAGAACATGCTGCACAGTTGAAGACAGCCTCATACAAAGATGCATCGCCACCTCTTGTCTTTTCAGAGCAAAACCTGGAGCGGCAGGTGTTACAGACACAGTGCCGGCGGCTGGAGGCACAGAACTACAGCCTCAGCCTGACTGCAGAACAGCTCTCTCACAGCATGGCGGTGAGTAGGGCAATGGGGCACCCCCAGAGAAGTCAGCTCTTAAGAAATCAAAACTTAATGCCAGGCATGACAGCACATACTTTAATCCCAGGAACGGGCAGATCTGTGAGTGTGAAGCCAGCCTGGGCCACATAGTGAGATCCTATCCTGTTTTAGAGATTAAAAGGTTTTTTGGGGTGGTGGTGCACACCTTTAATCCCAGCCTTGGGGGGGGGGCAGATAGACCTGAGTCTACAAAGCCTACACACTCCCAAAGCTCTTGTGGCAGTAGGCATCCCCCACCCTCACACAGGGGGACATGTACGGGGATGGTCATTCTTGGGGTTCAGAGTTTGAGCAGAGGCAGCAGTACACATTGGTTCTTGAAGAGTACATGTTGCTGGAAGAATATTGTAGCAATTTGCAGAAGTCACTCACACTGGCATATGTACTAGTGGTGTTCTGATGTATGTCATCTCCCCAGGAGCTGCGGAGTCAGAAACAGAAGATGGTCTCGGAGCGGGAGCGGCTCCAGGCGGAGCTGGACCACTTACGGAAGTGCCTTGCCTTGCCCACCATGCACTGGCCTAGGGGCTACTTTAAGGGATATCCGAGGTGACGGTTTCCCTTGCACTAGGCTGAACCTATAGCATAGAAATATTATCTATTTTATTACCTTGAATATTTAATATTTTTCACTGGGAGGTTTGAAGCTTACAAGTTGAGAACGTGCCATGCATGAAGCGAAGAATTCCAGGCTCCAGAGAGGACATCACCTTGACTCCAATGTAATCGAGTCATCTGTCTCAGCTAAGACACAGTTTCTCTTTCTGATGGCAGTTTTATTCCTTCTTCCCCCACATTCTTTTTCTCCAACACTGATGCCCACCGTGCATGTGGCTAAGGGAGAGCCGGCTGGTTGTTTCTTGTGTTGCTGTGCCTCGAGAGCCCAGCTTGCTCTTCCCGCAGCCCTGGGAGTTTTAACCTCTTCCTCCCAGGAGGAGTAAGACTAACTTGCACTGAAGAAGGCTGGGTGTGTACAAGCAAAGGGCTCACGATTGGTCACCTTCCTGCGCCATTGGCAAAGCCACAGGTTCTAGGAGCATGCAAGCTAGTCAAGGCTTCTCCCTGGAACAGCTCTTAGGAAAAGAGGCAAACCCACACCCGAAGGTACCTTATTTTCCTTGGGGAAGATGAGTGGAGCTGTCCACAGATAGCCCACCCACTGGATTGCTACCGCTGTGTGTGGCGTTTTCATACAAACATACGTTTTGAGAGAAAAGTCAAAGGTGCTTCAGCCTTGTACTGTGTATATATTAAAAAAAAAGTTTTGTATGTTTTTATTACTTTAATTATTGTTATAAAAAGCCTGCCATTTTTAATATGTGGTTTGGGGAATTTTTGTTTGTTTTTCCTGTTTGGGGGTTTCCTTTGTTTTTTTTTTTTTGTTTTTGTTTTTTTTTTCTCGTTTTCTTTTCTGGTTTAAAAAAAAAAAAAAGACAACCTGCTTTTAGTGTTTGTGCTGCTGCTGGTCAGGACATTAAAATGCTCAAGTTTTAGAAAGTAGAAGAGCTCACCTGTGCGGCGTCCCACACAGCAGGGCTGAGGGGCACCTGGGGTTAGTCTGCTGTTCATATCACGAGTGACCCACATGCAGCAGGAACTTGAGGTAAAGCTATAGGAGCTGAGCTCCTGTGACAGAGACAGCTATGGCAGAGGGCTCGGTACTGGGGGAATCTCCTTTCCCAGTTTCAACTCAACTGGGTTGACCAACTTGAAAGAGAACCTCTTCCTGCCAGAGCTCTGTCCCCCCATGAGGATGGGGAGAGGAAGCTGAGCCTACCCTTGGCCACCAGGCTTAATGGCTGTACAGAGCAGCTTGCTGGCAGTCCCCCTGCCAAGAATCTAGTCATTAGCAAACTCGGACAAGAATAGTGCCACCAGTATTGTCAGTAGTCAACAAAGTACCTCCCTTGGCACAGGAGCAACAGAAGACAGGCGGTGCTAAGGCCTCTGCCCTATAGCTGGTTGGAGATGGTGTGTAGGTGAGCAGAGGCTGCATGCCCTGGGACAAAGTGTTACCTAAGTTCCCAATTAATGTTGCTTGCGCTCACGCCTTAGTGTTTAGTGTTCCTGTCCCAGGCTAAACTCCACTGATGACTGGAAGCTTTTGTTAATCTGCTTGGTAATGGCTTTGGGAAAAGTAGTCCCCATAACTTAAGGCACACACAGCCCTCCCATTATCTCATAGGAATTCCCCTGGCTGAGTATGTGACCCAATGCAAGAGATAACTTCCCAGGTTGGCCTGGGACACAAGCTGAGCCACTGGCCTGGCAATGCCTATGTCCCTTCCAAACGCCCTTGCCTGCCTGTGGAGCCCTGAATATTCCCATGCTCACAAGTGACATGACAATCAGAATCAGGTACAAGCCAGTAAGGTGGTAGGCAAGTGTGCCGCTCACTCCACACATGTGGTTCTCCCATCCCACATAGTCTGAGACACTGATGAAGCTGAAAACACAGCATACCCTTCCAGGTACCACACATAGTCCCCACAGGTCTTCCAACCTTTCCCCACTACAGATCTGCTCTAGGATGGACTGTGTAAAATCAGTAAGTACATGAGAATCCCAATTCTTGACCGTGTCTTCCCACTTCACTGCCAAGGGATAGTTGTCATCTGTCCTGGCTGGAAACTGACCAAGCTTGTGATAGACAGACAGTCCAGTGTTAGATTCCATGGTTCCATGTTTCATTAGATCTTTAAAAAAAAAAAAATGCTTCATATCATTAGAGCCAAACTGATAAGACCTGCCATCATCCCAGATGAATGACTAAAAAGGACTGTCATCACTTCAGTACATGGTACCTTAAAGACCCACAACTTGTACCACACCAGATTGTACCACTAGGGTACCAGAGGATCACAGGGAGAGCTGCCCTAACAGTGGGGAACTGCAGTCATGCTCACAGCACTGCCAAATCTCAGTTAAACTGAGCTGCAAACTAGATGCCTCCCACCCCTGCCTCAGACATCCAGGACCCAGCATGGAAATGGCCCGCACAGCAGGCTCAGCACCTCTGAGGTGTGCGTTAGCCACTTAGCAGCAGTCTGTACTCTTTCAAGTACTCAAGCTTTGACTTCACTTCTTGCCGTAGCCTGTCCCCACTGTCTGATCCAGTGCTTAACTTCAACCCTAGAGGCTGCCTTGACCCGAGGAGGCATCTCACTAGTTTTGTACTTGTGTGTGCCCTACACCTCACTGCTAGGGCAGTGGACCCAGGCAGGAGGGAGGACGGGTGCCTCGGTCACTCTAGGGGCAGTTTAGATGCTGTGAAATTAAACCCGTTCTAAGTGTACTTGTTTGAATTAACTGTATTGTAATATTATTTGTTGAATGTAGTAATTAGGTATTTATGAATATATTGCTGTAATTTGACATCCCAAAAATAAAATCTTCCTAAATCATGTTAAGAGGAAAATCATTTTATATTACCACCACCACCACCACCACCACCCCCAGTTTTCAACTGAATACAGCTTTCACAGTCAGACTTGAAGACGCTGAACTAAACTGGCCTGAACAGAGGACTCCATGCTCACTAGAGAGAAATGCTGGTGGCTTTTACATTTGTTGGAAGTTGAACTTGCAATGTGGCTGGGTTCTGACAGAAATGAGTAGCAAACTCACAGCTTCCACCAGTGTTGCACACCTATCTTTCCACCATCGTGCTTCCAGAGCCAAGTGCCTATTAGGTCTAGAGCTTGGACACCAGCAGACAGCAAGGGTTTGCACATCACAGGCCTCTGGCTAGAATTCCTGAGACTGTGTGCTCTCAGAGGGCTGGAGGTTTGTGCGGAGTTTGTACATGTGATTGAGTGCCTGAGTGAGGAAGGCCCCACTGGTGTTGATCTCCATCAAGGTCAAGTTATCGAGCTGAAACAAATAACAAGTGAGCCGAGTAAGTTTTGACCTTAGGAAAGCTAACAAAAGCTTAGAAACCAATGAGTTGTGTGTTCCTGGGTGCTGAGGATGAAGCCCAGTACCCAGTACACACCAGGCAAGCTATCAAGAGCCACACCCCAACCCCCCATGAGCCTATTCAAAGCACAACTTAAAATTCCTGCTTACATGGCTGAGCAGGCAGGATGCCCTAACAACTCCCTGGAAGCATTCACACTGGCTGGCAGTGCCTACTGGCACCAGGCAGGGACAGGAGAGCCATGCCTACCTTGGCATGTGCCTCCTGCTGCCGCACAAAGCTGTCAGCAGACACCCGGAGCTTGGCCATGCGTGTGTCCCACAGATCTTTGATCAGTGTCCGGATGATGTCTGCCTTGGGAATGTTGTCAGAAGCACTGACGACACATAGAGGCAAAAGAGACAGAGGCACTTGGTAAGCTTACCCGACACAGGCAGAAATAGCTGCTTCAAAACCATAGCTTGAGGGCAGGTCAAACAGCTCAGCAGTTAATGCTTGCTGCTCTTCCTGGGGATTCCAGTTCCATTTCTGGCATCCATCAGGCAGCTCACAACTGCTTATAAACACTTGTGGTAAACAGACACATCTACACAAACAAATCTAAAAAACAGCTTGAGCCATGGGTGGTAGCACATGACTGTAAACCTAGTACTCAGAAGGTTGAGGCAAAAGAACCATAAGTTCAAGACTGGGAAAAATGGCTAGAGACCCCGTTTCAAGGAGGAAAGAAAAGGAAGCCTTGCACAGGCTTGGGAGAGTGTTTGACTCTTTCTTTCCCCGGGGGTTGGGATGTTGGCAGGTAAGCTTAGCACTCAGGGTTTTCATGAATGCTCACTGTCCATGGTCAGTGGCTACACAGAATGACAGATCTGACAAAGTGAAACACTGAAAGCCAGGAGTGGTGACTATACTCCCAGCATTTGGGAAGCCGAGACAATACCTAGACAGGCAGTACAGCGTGAGGCTCCATAGCAATAACACAGGCTAGAGATGGCTCAGTAACTGGTACACACTGCTCTTGCAAAGTACACAATTTGGTTCCTAGCACCCATGCCAGGTGGGTCAAAACGACCTCTAACCCCAGCTCCAAGGGAATCCCACACCTCTGGCCACTGAGGGCACCTACCTGCACTCACGTGCACATACAGACACAAAATAAATATTCAAAACAATAACACTTTGGGGGAGTTAGAGATGGCTCAGCAGTTAAGAGCACATACTGCTCTTGCAAAGGACCCAATCAGTTCCCAGAAACCTATGTGGGGTGGCTTGCAATCCTCTGTAAATTCCAGCTCCAGGAGATCCAATACCCTTTTCTTGTCTCCTTGGGCACTGCACTTACATACACATACCTTCACACAGACACACAGACACATGTAATTAAAAACAAAAATGCATCTTTAAAAGAACAGTGGAAAATTGGGCCTGTGGGACACTCCCTTCGGGGTAACAACATCCTGTGCTGTGTAACCATCTCAAGGCTGGCTCAGGTCAGCAGATCCCATTTTTTTTTTTTAGCCAGTGACGTAGGCTCACTACCCAGCACCACTAGGGAACAAGAGGGCAAGCTTTGTGTTCAGCCCTTCAAGTGCATTTCTAGTCTCACAAAAGGCTGAGAGACGGGACTGTCACTGTGGGGAGCACAGGTTACAAAAATCACAGAGCAGAGCAAAGTCTCAAAAGCAGCCTGGTGTCTACAGAGAGTTTAAGGTCAGCAGTTAGTGACAACTTTCCTTTATGGCATGCTTGAAGCCAACCTTTGAGGAAAGAAATGCACACAAGAAGAGGCAGACAGACTCATGGAGCCCATCACTAGGTGCTCTCCCTGTGCCAGTCAGCTCAGGAGTGGTAGGTAGGTCTGTGTTATAGAATGTATGCAGTGAACAGAATGATGAACACAAGTGTTCAGATCTTAAGCTGTGAACAGAATAGGACAAAGAACTCCAGACCCTTATCAAGTGAACTACAGTACACAGTAAAACTGGGTTCCCAGACCATCGAGACGGCTCAGCAGGTAAAAGTGTCTGTGGCTAACCCTGACAACCAGAATCCAATCTCTGGAATCCACATGATAGGAGAGAACCAATTCCTGCAAATTGTTCTGACTTCCATATGCATGTCATGCCATATGCATGTACCCACAAATTTAATGGGTTTTTTACCTTTTTTTTTTTTTCCCGTTTTTCGAGACAGGGTTTCTCTGTGTAGCTTTGGAGCCTATCCTGGCACTCGCTCTGGAGACCAGGCTGGCCTCGAACTCAGAAAGATCCGCCTGCCTCTGCTTCCCGAGTGCTAAGATTAAAGGCGTGTGCCACCAACGCCCGGCTTGTCCTCCTGCTTTTGTTGAGTCTTCATGGCACAGTGAGAGTGTTGTGGTCAGAGGATAAGCTGTAGGAGTCAGTTCTCTCCATACTGGTTCAGGTGGAATACAGGTCATTATCCTTAGTGTCGGGTACCTTTACCTACTGAGCTATTTTGCCAACCTGCCTTATTTTAATTTTTCTTTTAAAGATAGCACTCTACAGGGCTGAAGAGGTGGCTCAGTGGTTAAGAACACTAGCTGTGTTCTTTCATAGGACCCAGGTTCAATTCTCAGCATCCACATGGCAGCTCACAACTGTCTGTAACTCCAGTTCCAGGGGATCCAGTGCTCTCTTCTGGCTCCACAAATACCAGGCACATGTAGGCAGAATACCCACTGTACTCATAAAGTAAGCCAGGCATGGTGGCATATTTATTTAGTCTCAGCACTCAGGAGGCATAGGCAGGTAGACCTCTTGAGTTTGAGGCCAGCCAGACCTGCATAGTGAGACTCTTTTTAAAATGAATGAATGAATATTGACTTTTGTGTTTGAAGGGTTTGTTTGCCTATTTTATCTTTTCTCTCTCTTTTACTTTGATTTTAGTCCCATGAGCGTGTAAGCAAGCGTCTGCATCAGCGATTCCAGGCCTGGGTAGATAAATGGACCAAGGAGCATGTGCCTCGTGAAATGGCAGCAGAGACCAGCAAGTGGCT